TAATTAATCCCTGTAAATACTGTAACTGATAGATCAATTTAAATAAAAAAAATATAAAAGAATTTTAAATTTATGCTCAAAAAAGTTAAGGGTCATGGAATTAAGTCCACATTTATTTTTTAATGCAAGAGTTTTGTTTGTAAGAATTACTTGTATATGGCTGACGTACGTTCTGTTTTTTATCTGCATAACTTCGATTACCGATTGACCAAATCCACGTGCGCATTTACAATATCCCCCTCTCAACATGAGAAAAAACTGTCAAAGTTCAATGTTATAAAATTTTGTGTAAGACTTTGATTTAAAAAAAAATACTACAGGACTTTGCAATGGGGGAAGTTGCAACAAAAGACATCATAGCGGCAGAACAAACTGTACGACAGCTCGTCAGGAGCATGAAATTTACTCTTGACAAAACGCAATCGGCCATGTCTGCCGAAGTCTTGAATAGGAAATATAGGAATGATAATGGGTTTTAAATATATCCACTCAGAAATAGGATTCATGCAGCAAATTTGCATATCTGTAAGCCAGCATATTCGTCCACATTTGACTGTAAGACATTGCAATGCTGGTTATTCAAAACCCTGAGAGGCCAAAGTTAGAGGGAATGTGGTGGTTTACTACATGTGATCAAACACGATTGTGTGATGTATTTGGCATAGAGTGACAAATACAAATTTTGAATTAGGCACTGGCAAGTACCAACAATTAAAGACATCTACTTTACAATTCGTAACTGAATACTACTCTTATCATTCTGTTGATCAATGATCATCTTTTTGTCTTGCTTTTGGGAATCGTCACAAACCACGGCCAAAATGTACGATCCTCTCCCATTCTGGCCGTGGTTGAGAGAAAAGAATATTTCGTACCTCATTAAAAAAAATTGACCAGTGCAAGTAAAGCATAGTCGGGAAATGAACTTTGACGCGACCTTTCAATACCCAATCGCAGTTTACGAAAGATTTTTTTTTCCTGTTGATGTCAATTGTTGATATCAATTGCGAAGGAAACACATACTGTCATTGGCTGAACATGACGTCACAACAAAGAGGCATAAATATTCATGGTATGACACTTTTTTTGATCAAGCAGCCAAGGAGAGAGCTGTGTGCGGACTCAGGATCGTGGCTTGAGACGATGGCTTTTGGGCAACATATCTTCATTTTTTAGCTCTACTGGTCAGAGACCAGAAGAGCTTATGCGATAGTAAGGTGTCCGTCGTCCGTCCGTCTGTCTGTCTGTCTGTCTGTCTGTCTGTCTGTCTGTCCGTCTGTCTGTAAACAATTTTTCAAAACGCTACTCCTCCTACAGTTTTGGTCCGATTTCAATATAACTTGGCACACAAGTAGACTACACTAAGATACATAATTTAGTGCATCGGTTTTTGATTTCGATGGACGGTGTTGCCATGGTTACTAAAAATAGAAATTTCTGTGAAATTCCTTTAAAACGCTACTCCTCCTACAGTTTTGGTCCGATTTCAATATAACTTGGCACACAAGTAGACTACACTAAGATACATAATTTAGTGCATCGGTTTTTGATTTCGATGGACGGTGTTGCCATGGTTACTAAAAATAGAAATTTCTGTGAAATTCCTTTAAAACGCTACTCCTCCTACAGTTTTGGTCCGATTTCAATATAACTTGGCACACAAGTAGACTACACTAAGATACATAATTAAGTGCATCGGTTTTTGATTTCGATGGACGGTGTTGCCATGGTTACTAAAAATAGAAATTTCTGTGAAATTCCTTTAAAACGCTACTCCTCCTACAGTTTTGGTCCGATTTCAATATAACTTGGCACACAAGTAGACTACACTAAGATACATAATTTAGTGCATGGGTTTTTGATTTCGATGGACGGTGTTGCCATGGTTACTAAAAATAGAAATTTCTGTGAAATTCCTTTAAAACACTACTCCTCCTACAGTTTTGGTCCGATTTCAATATAACTTGGCACACAAGTAGACTACACTAAGATACATAATTTAGTGCATCGGTTTTTGATTTCGATGGACGGTGTTGCCATGGTTACTAAAAATAGAAATTTCTGTGAAATTCCTTTAAAACGCTACTCCTCCTACAGTTTTGGTCCGATTTCAATATAACTTGGCACACAAGTAGACTACACTAAGATACATAATTTAGTGCATCGGTTTTTGAATTCGATGAACAGTGTTGCCATGGTTACTTAAAATAGAAATTTCTGTGAAATTCCTTTAAAACGTTACTCCTCCTACAATTTTGGTCTGATTTCAATCTAATTTGGCACACAGTTAGAATACACTACGATACATAATATGTATTTCTGTTTTTTTTATTTGGGTGAATGGTGTTGTCATGGTTACCGGTACTAAAAATAGAAATTTCCGTGAAATACTTTCAAAACGCTACTACTCCTAGTTTTCATTTGATTTCAATATAACTTGTCACAAAAGTAGACTACATTAAGATACATAATTCTATTTATTGTTGCATGTTGCAATGTTTCAAATCCAAGTGCTACTTTTCTTTTGTTATACAAACAGACCAGTAGAGCTACAGTCTCATCAGAGACTTCTGGTTTTAGTTTATCTTGATTTAATTTAAACTTCTATAGATGTTTCAAATTGTTGAATTATACCAAGCGACCGTTTATGCCCTTGGGCCTCTCGTCTTTGCAGTATGCATAAAGTATGACTGAAGTAGAGTTGAAAACCTATATGACTATCACTTCAGGATCTCAGATTGGGCCTTTAGGAAGTGTAGCTTTAGGTTACAGGGGTTACAGGCATAATTCATACTCCCTAATGCCCTTAACCCTTGTTCATGTGGCTAATGATGGATGAAAAATGTCCTCCGCTCTTTGCACCACTTGGTGGTACCACTACAGCCCCATTCTGATGGTGGGAAATGATAGCACAAGGGACCATCTACCTTGTCCGAGTAATAATTAAAAACACACTTCAAAGTTAATGGGTAGAATAGCTGTTTGAAATATGTAACCTGCCCTTGGCACCCTTGGTGCCGTATGCTGCCGTATATAATTGCCGTATGGCCCCTTTACTTTGTACCAGTAATTTTTCGAAACACACTTTAACGAGAAGCTGGGTAATAGCTTACCTTCAAACCCTATATCAGTCTTCAATACTCAGAGTAAGCAGCTCTCAGGTTAGCTAATTGGTCCTGTCATGTTACTGAGACCCATCAAAAGAGCTTAAAAGGGATTTTCCTTGAAGTACTTAACCTATTTACAACTGTTTGTTTGTTCTTCAGTAGTCAAAGATGATGAAAATTCTTCTTTTTTTTTTTTTTTTTTTTTACATTTTTCTGTTTTAAAACCACATGATTTTCCTAAAGCAGGTGATCTTAACTACCTTTGAGTATTTATCTTATTAAGTAATTAAGTGTTGCATTAATTGTCTAAGTATTAATTATTAATTGTCTAAAATAAGTATAAAGACAATATTGCGTCAGAGTATAAAGAATAGACTTCATAATATATAAAGTGGACTTAATGATATATAGAATAGACTTCGTAATATATAAAGTGGACTTAATGATATAAAGAATAGACTTCATAATATATAAAGTGGACTTAATGATATAAAAAATAGACTACATAATATATGAAGTGGACTTAATGATATAAAGAACAGACTTCATAATATATAAAGTGGACTTAATGATATAAAGAATAGACTTCATAATATATAAAGTGGACTTAATGATATAAAGAACAGACTTCATAATATATAAAGTGGACTTAATGATATAAAGAATAGACTTCATAATATATAAAGTGGACTTAATGATATAAAGAATAGACTTCATAATATATAAAGTGGTTGTAATGATATAAGGAATAGACTTCATAATATATAGAGTGGACATTAATGATATAAAGAATAGACTTCATAATATATAAAGTGAACTTAATGATATAAAAAAATAGACTACATAATATATGAAGTGGACTTAATGATATAAAGAATAGACTTCATAATATACGAAGTGGACTTAATGATATAAAGAATAGACTTCATAATATATAAAGTGGACTTAATGATATAAAAAAAATAGACTACATAATATACGAAGTGGAATTAATGATATAAAGAATAGACTTCTTAATATATGAAGTGGACTTAATGATATATAAAGGATAGACTAAATGTTTTGTAAAATTGACACTGTGATGCATATTTTGTACCCTTAAGGACCCTCTGTACACTAGAGGAAAATATGTTTGGACATTGAAAAAATTATAGTGTGTAAAGGTGTAAGTATTGAGCTTATCTATCACATTTTCAACATAGGGTGCCTTGCATTTACCCCCAGGAAAAATGTTCAAAGACAATGAAGTACTGATGAACATAAATCACTGTTGTTTACTTAAGTGGGCAAAATATCTGCAAATGAAGTGTTCTATCTATTCATCTTGGCCTATTAAAGTGTTATGAATGTTTGATTTGATCACAAATTAAGTAATAAATTGTACATTTCAGTTTATTTTATTCTTTATCAAAGGGCAGATCACTCTATTTGCATAAAAATACCACAAAATCAGAACTCTCTAGTGTGCCGTGTATAGAGGGCTCTTATGTAGATGGAGTAGCATTTTTAATTCATAAAAGAGAAGACTAAGAATATAGTTAAAGCAGCGACGTTGTTCGTTTTAAACTCTAAAATACATGCTAAAAAATAGGTAAAATTTGTTGTCTTTATGTTTATACCACATTTCATTCAAATCAAACTAAAACTGATGCAATAAATTAGCACACGATTCTGTTTTAGTGATAATCAAAAATCAAACATCGACTTTTGTTTAACTACTAGTATTATCAGGTTTTATTGAAATCGGACGAAAATCAGTTGGCAATCTACCAGTACTACAAAAAAACAAAATAAATGTAACTCTCCTGATACCAGACTGGAAATAAGTAGACTGAATGTGAACTAGATCAATTAACGTACATACGTATAAATATGGTTTAAAATGGTTTATTCTCTCTTTAGATCTGATTAATCACAATGCCACGTGGAGGTGGGAGTAGGAGCTCTGGTGGATCCAGCGGTGGTGGAAGGAGTTATGTCGACAACTCCTACAACCGGAGTTTGGGGCGAGTTGGAATGCCGGTGGGTTCGATGGTGGTATCTAGCGGGGGGAGTAGGTCATCCTCAGCAAGCACCAGCTTTTTAGGTTCAAGTTTTGGTGGAAACAGCAGTAGTGGAAGATCGTATGTCGACAACGCGTATAACCGAAATTTGGGAAGAGTTGGTATGCCTGTAGGTTCAATGGTGGTATCTAAAGGGAGTAGCAGGCCATCCTCAGCGAGCGCCAGCGTTTTCGACTTCGGCACTTCAAATAGTGGAAGGACCTACGTTGACAATGCTCAGAATCGTCAGCTTGGTAGAGTAGGGATGCCTGTTGGATCCATGCCTTTTTCCAGTTCAAGCAGTTCTTCTTCTTCAAAAACGTACGTAGATAATGAATACAACCGAAGACTCGGAAGAGTAGGCATGGAGCATGGTGCAATGGTGGTCTCCAAAAGCTCTTCAGATGAAGCAAGTTCAAGAGGAACTAAGCATTATGTCGATAATTCACTTAATAGAAGTCTTGGGCGTGTCGGTCTTCCTCATGGAGCGTGCGCTGATGTTGGGGAAGTTCGATTATATAAAGACAATGCATTCAATCGAAGACTAGGACGTGTAGGAAAACCACTCGGAACAGCAGTTCAATCAAAATCTGGATTGGAAGAGTACAAAGTCTACGCCGACAATTCAGAAAACCGTCGTCTGGGAAGAGTAGGTTTCCCTGTTGGATCCAGACCCAAAGCCTCGTTCTCAGGAACGAAGCGCACATATCGCGATAACTCTCTGAACAGAGCCCTTAAACGAGTTGGAGAGGAGCTTGGAACAAGACCTGTAACCTGCAGCAGAGAAACGGAGTGGATCCACAAAGCATATCAAAGATACAGAGAAAATCCGGTAAGATCCATTAGGCATAACATAACTGTACACCCAATGATACTTTTTTTTTAATTTAAAGATGGCTTTCATGTAATATCTTGAAAATTCAGCAAATTTACCAGTTAATGTTTTTACATTTTTAGGATGCAGAGATACAATATCAAGAGTTGCCAGCATTGCCAGAAGAAATGGAAACGGATGCAATAGAGAAAATTATGGATCTGTTTAACAGACTACAGTTTGAGAGAGAATGGCGTGAGAAGTCAAAAACAAAGCCTGTTCCGAAAACGGAAGATGCATTACTTCACTACACAGGGCCGATGGTTGAGTTTTCTGATTTGGAGCTTGGAAGGATCATAGGTCGAGGTGGATTTGGGGTCGTTTATCACGCCAAGTACAATGGCTCAGTTGTTGCTGTAAAGAAGTTGCACGTCACACGAGTTTCCAAGCGTCGTCAAAAAGAATTCACCGAAGAGGTGAATATTTTAAGCAAGCTTGACCATTCATTTATCGTAAAATTCATCGGTGCATGTACAACAACGCCAAATCTTTGCATCGTTATGGAGTACATGCAGATGAGTTTGTACGAAGCTCTGCACGTGGACAGTGCTGATCTGGCTGATTTTACCGATGAGGATCGGTTAGCTATGATTATGCAGACCCTTACAGGGTTAGAGTATCTGCACGAGAAAAATGTTGCTCATTGCGACATTAAGTCAAGAAACATACTCATCGACCATGACGGCGAGAAGTTTACGGTTGCCAAACTCTCAGATTTCGGATTGAGCATGATGAAGAACGAAACGGAAACATCTTTGTCGTCCAGTCACGAGGCAGTCCGCAATGTAGGAACACCTCGGTATTCTTCACCAGAGGTTCTTCGTGGCGAACTACTAAGCTTAGATCAGATGAAGATGAGTGACATGTATTCTTACGCTTTAGTTGTGTTCGAAATAGTTTGTGAAGAGGAACCCTTTGCCAATCTAAGCGCTGCGCAGCTACGTACCCAAGTTGGCGAGAAGGGTCTTTACCCCCAGTTTCCTAAAGATGTTGATCCCGATATAAATCTGGTAACCCAACTTTTGGGATGTTGGGAGAGGAAGCCAACTGATCGCCCGACAGCTAGCAGTTTTCTTCGAATTGTGAATCGCCTGTCCTGTGTTTATGAGAAAACGGATTGGTAAAATCATAAACTGTGCATTTTGCTGGATAACATTTTGCAGTTCATTATTGTTGCATTTTTAACGACTGTATCGTATTATTCAATTTTGACGTTTACTAGACTAGTATACATGTATTTAATTCAAGTTAATAGAATTTTTTATCTGTTGTTTAGTTTTAATGAACTAAAGCTTATTCTTTGTATATTTACAATCGTTGGATTTCTATTTTACTTTGTGTATGTGACAATGCTTAAACAAACCATCAGTTCTTCGGATATATAATTCTACAACGCATACAGTAGTTGTAGTTTTATTTAAATTGGTCATTTATTTTCAGGGATACTGCATGTACATTCATTTTACATGTATTTACTAGTTGTTACTGTACATCTAACTGTATAACTTTGTAGCTACATAGTTGTTCTAGCGTAGAATCATTATTAAAATGTAAATCAAAATGCTTTATTTCATATTTTATATGAGGGGAATATCCGTGGATGCCATACATGACGATAATCTATATATATTTTTTAAAAAGTCTTCATCGCCGACCTCAGATAATTTACAGTAACTTTTAAAATTGTTATGACGTTTCAAAATGATGCATCATACAGTGAAAGCAACTCGGTGTTATTACGCTCCCCAAACTAAGTTTGGAGTCGTATTGTTTTTACTTTCTTTTTTAAATCTCTGGGTTTTTTTTTTTTTTTTTGTTCTCGGAAACTAATCATCATCCTCACAAGGTCAGGGGTCCTGAGTCAACACAGTGCCTTGTTCAACGGCAACGCGTGTCCAAAGGCAACGTGTTGACTCCGGAGTCCTGACGTCTTGAATCATCCGATTGAGGAGAAACCTTTTTAGGGTTAACAGGCTATTTGTGTAGATGTGAGGAACAAAGGTCAGTTTGTATGCACGCGAGTGCGATGAATGAAATAACCAATTTAATTGAAGTTTCGGCACGACCAAACATTTTCAGTTAGGGGAGAGGGCACTACTAAATAAAAATTCATTGATTAACAAAAAAGGGGGTCATCTGATGTAATTATTAAAGGAGTACGTCCATAAAGTAGATTTGTTTTCTTTAATTTAGTTTACATGTATATCGGCAAAATTATGGGGGGAGGTGATGGCCCCCCCCCCCCGTTCCCACAAACCTGATTTGACGTTAGAACTTCAATATCAATAATGTCCATTTACTTGGATTTCAAATTTTCTAGTTATGCGCGATTAGATTAAAAATGATTAACATAATCTATTTTTTGCATTGAAATGTCTACATTTCGTCTACAATATAGTGAGGAATAATCTTCAAATCCCTTACATGGTGATATACTGTGATATTTTATCATGATCCAGATACAGTAAGACAGAATAATTTTTATCAAAATAAGTTTGAAAGTTTATTGAACGGATATTCATTTTTGGTAGAGGTGATCCAGAATGTTAGGATTTCAAACGATGTTTTGTCGTGAAATGGGTTTCAAATAACAGCTAAACATTTGGTAATTAATATGAAGTTTAATGGTGAAGACCCAATTACGAATAAAACAAATCCTAATATAAATGTAGAAAACTTTGAGGGTTATGTTGTATTTTGTGTCCTTTAATTCATCACTGAAGTGTAGGTGTTATTGCTGCATTCCTTTCTACAACAATTTGAAATGTTGAAAGCAACTGGCTTACAAAAAAGGTATTAGTAATGGCTTCAAACAAAATAGGCTTTCACTGAATTTACATGAGAAACTTGATATACCAAATGGATGAATACCTGACACAATATTAATTTTTTCGCCACAAACCATATCGATTTCAAAATATTGACAACAGAATACCAGTTTTGAGGTCCTGCATTTTGTAAAATAACAAGCGAGAATCTTGAATGCCGGATTTATGTTAAATCTAGCTCATACTTGGATGTTCCACGCAAGTTTTATGCTTCAGCACTTTTAAGTCTATATGTGATCAAAATTTTGATCATGATTTACATGTACGAATAAGGCCTTTCAGAATATTACCATAAACAGTGCCACTGGAACAAATACAAGAGGCCCAATGGCCTAAAATCGCTTCTCCGATAAATTGCATAACGCCGCAATTGTAACCTATCTACTTCAAAACTGGCAAATCTTTTGGGCTCTAAGGCACCCAAATGCTTAAATTGACGAGGTTTGATGATCCTAGGCCTTTTAGTATCAAAGATATAACGATTTGAGAATAAATTATTAAAAAATGCAAAAAGTAGATCACTGTGACCTACTTTGGGGTTAGTATAACCTGAGGAACTGACAATATTTGATGATCCAAGACCTCTTAGTATGAGAGATATAAAGATTTAAAAACTAATGATAATTTTCAAAAATTAAGTCACTGAGACCTTCGATTGGGTCAACATATCCTGAGGTCCTTAGATTCGTCAACCGAAAATGTTTGATGATATTAGGCTTATATTACTAAAGATATAAAGATTTGAAAATGAATCACTATAAAAAGCAGGTCACTGTGACTTAACTTTGGTTCAGCATATCCTAAGGTCTAAGATCCATCAACTTACAAGGTTTGATGACCATAGGCCTCATAGTATCAAAGATGTAAAGGTTTGTCAATTAAGAATGATAAAATTCAGGTCGAAGGTCACAACGATCTACTTTTGAATGGAAGGGCTCTAAAATGCTTATAATGTTTGTTGACTCTGTATTCCATGATGTTCAAAATATGTAGTTTAAAAGATTATAAAAACGATAAAATTCTACAAACAGATCAAAGTGACATGCTTTTTTTACACATCCGGAGGCCCTAAGATTCTAAGCCGAATAGTATCTAAAATATTTAAAAGATAAAATGCTTTGAAACTGAATAGCCATAAAATTCAGAAAGTAGATCATTAGGGCCCCGTAAGGATTTGCGGGTGCCCTATAGTAATCACTCTGTCTGTCTGTCAGTCTGTCTGTCTGTCATTCTTCCGTCCACAAATTTTCTGGGTTTTTTTTTAATAACTTTTGTTTAGGGTTGACCAATTAACTTCAAATTTTGTATGTTGGTTGAATAGGCGGTAAGACATATTTTGATGCTAAGTTTGGTTCTCTATGTCATCTGGTTTGGAGCTGGGGTGGTGGGGTAGATTCCTTAACTTTATATAAGAGTGAATGGGCAAAGAGAGATAACTGCTGAGAATGTTCCTATTGTAAACTAGGAAAGGCTGCAATGAGTCTCTTGGGATTAATTAACTTTCCTCTTGAAGAAAATCCAAAGCATTTATCTTTATCTGCCACATTGAGATTAAGTAACACTTCTGTCTGTAAATGAAGTTTGTTTTGAAGTTAAGGTCAATTCTGAATGATGTTTACATTCTCTGAAATGTGGATTTAAATAATGTTCATACTTTATTTTGGTAAATTACACAGAGTTATGATTTTATTGAATTCTAAAAACCAGATACAGATAAAGATATCTTTTTTAGTATTATTTTAATTTTTTTCTTTCTTTTTTCTGCCTTTTGTAAATTCAAGCATACTATTTATTTTAACAGGTATTCAGATAATAACCTCATTCTATCATTGCTGAAAAAGTTCTTATTGTAAACTAAGAGAAAAGGTTGAGAGAGCAGTATAATTAATCCCCTGGGTTTGATTATCTTGCTGCTTGCAGAAAAATTTAGAGGGTTATCTTTCCGTCACTTTAAGTTTGATTAACACCTTTGTCTGCTACTGATGTTTGTTATGAAGTTAAGGTCAAGCCTGGGTGATATTTGCATTCACTGAAGGCTGGCATTTTAGAAAACACATACTTCATTCTTCTTTAAATATACATTTAATTGAGTTATTATAGATATGATGTTTTTTACTGCCTTATGTAAATACAAGGATACTGTTTACAGGTTGTTGGATATTTAGCAGTTGTTGTTGCTTATTCTTCTTTATATATTTTTAAATTTTTGTAATCAAGTAAAATTCTCATCCCCTAATCTGCACCCTTATATTTCTACCCCTCGGCGGGGCCCTTGCTGACTGGTCAGATTTCTAGTTGTGACCTACTTTTTTGTTGACACACGCGGAGACCCCATGATGCATCAACTGACAGAGTTTGATTATCCTAGGCCTTACCATGTCCTAGATATGCATCTAAAACAATGTGAAATGAATAAAATTAGGTCATCAAGATCTACTTTTGGGTCAAAGTAACTTGAGGTCATATACTAAGATGCATCATCTGACAAGATTTGATGACCCCAGTCCTCGGTGCAAAATATCATTTTAGGTAAACTTTGAAGTGATCTGGAGACCACGTCCTTTGTCCTAGGGTGTCTTTAATATTTTTTTGATTTTAAAACATATCCTCATCATTGTGTGCAAGTTTGGTGATAATCATAAGTAGATTTTTTTTAGCAAGCACTATTTTTAAAATATATTTTCCCAATTGTCTCCCCTTGTTTGAGGGTTACATATCTATTATTTCTATAAACGAAGGCCCTTGGTCCAAGGACATTATGTGACAAATCTGATAAAAATTGACCGAGAGGGTCTTGAGATATGGCCTCCATTTCAGAAAATTTACGCTCACCGCACACCAGGCCACAGCCTTTGGTGCAGAAGAGCTAATGATGGACCCCACAGCTCTCTTGGAATCAGGCTGTAGTTCTGTAGCTGATTGGTCTCAAAAAGTTTTCAGACCAGTGAACCACAAACCTGCAGCTATCTCGGATCCTTACTGTTTCTGAATTCACACTGTATAATTTGAAGGAAGGATGCTGACAGATAGTTCTGACAAATTACAGCCACTGTATTTCGGGTAACACAGTGTCAAAATACAAGAGGCCCAAGGGCCTTGAATCACTCTTCTGATAAACTGTACAACCTATCACTTCCATTTGAAGCCTCTAAGTATCCTGTATATTTAGATAAAGCCTTGAAACTCCAAAGGTAGGCCATCATGACCTAGAATTAAGATGAAACATTCTGAGAACCCAAGATGATTCTAAGCCAATTAGTACCTGAGAGTAGGTCATGGTGACCTACTTATCACTTGTCATTCTCTGAGGACCCAAGATGCATCGACTAAGTTTGATGATTCTAAGCCAATTAATATCTAAAATATTTTTAAAATCATTATCATAAAATTTCAAAAGCAGGTCATAGTGACCTACTTCTCAGATGATATACTTAGAGGACCCAAGATGCACCAACTGACAAAGTTTGATGATTCTAAGCCAATTGGTACCTGATATATTTAAATAAAGCCATAAATTTTCAAAAGTAAGTCACAGTGACCTACATTTCAGTCAACTTACTCCGAGGACCCAAGATGCATCAACTGACAAAGTTTGATGATTCTAAGCTAATTAGTATCCGAAATATTTCATTATAGCCATATAAATTGAAAAGTAGGTCACGGTGACCTACTCTTCAGTAGACCTACTCCGAGGACCCAAGATGCATCAACTGACAAATTTTTTATGATTCTA